TTGAAATTTCACAGAAATATGTATCTTAAGGATTCCAATAAATTTTGGGCAAAGTTTCTGTATTTTAAAAATTTCTCCTAAAATTATCGCTGAGTTGATATCGTTGATGGAGATGTACGGAGCACAACAAATAATTTAAAACAAAAGTATGTGGAGTCCAAAATTTACTAGTAACTCATTCATTTTCTATAATTCGCGATATTTATCTTTATATAATTGTTCTATTACTTGTTTGTAGATTTCTGAGGTGATATTTGAAGTATTGACAGAAATATAGTGCGGATGCAATTCCTGTGAAAACGACTGTGAAAATGACGTCTCCTGAATTGACGGAGTACCACACTTTTATTAAATTATGCGTAATGCTCAAGATATCGCCAACATAGATTCAAAATGTGCATAATAAAAGATGTAATAAACTTGGGTATTAGTGACATTTGTCTACAAATAGCAAATTGGAATTTTAGACCGTTATACCTCTGTAAAAAAGGCTATACGGGAGGGCGAGACGAATCTTATCGACGAAAACTTTATCCGGACTGTTAAGAACGTGATTGAGAGTGATCCAATGTCACACTGTATCTCATAAGTACCAGCAGTCTGTGGTTTTAAAACAAAAAGGAGTATGTTTTACATGTTTTAAAGATTTTAAGCTTGCCAAGAAATTGTGTATGGATGTTGAAAAGAGAGAATAGGTAACTCAAACTGTACGTACAGGAACTCTTGGGAAAATGTTGAGAAAATAAAAGCTCTTTTTTTTATAATGTCCGTGACGACGAAGATTTTGCTGCTCCGTGACTTAATGATATGTCCTGATAAATCACCCAAAATTGATATCAATTTACAACATTTTGATATAAAATTTTGAAGACTATATACATGTAAGTAAAGATTCTTTTATATTATTTGTGACAATTTGCCCGAATATGTCGTCAAATATTTTTTCTGTGCAACAAGTCCGCGTAATTTTTGAACGGCCCTCGTATTTTTATATAACAAATCTGTACTATCATTTCATTTGGGATTTTAACTGCCGTGTTATTCTTGTGACTTATTGTGACATGACTTGGATATCCTACTGCAAAACATTTTTTTGAAATGTAGAAAACAAGTGGTCGTTACAAACTAGAGTTTTCTTCCAGGATCTGTGGCCACTAATTGTGCTTCCGTCATTGTCATTAACCCTCTACATCATATATACTATTAAAAAAAAGGTCGATGAAGACCATTGTGTGTGAATTCATTCCTGATCATTGATCTTTGCATCTATTGAAGAATTGAACAGTAATTGATCATTGTATATATTCATTGTATTGTATCATTGGACATTTTGATTCTTGCATGCATTGTATGACTGTATTTCTCAATTCATCTTAAAGTAAAGCCATGACAAAAAATTGCCAAATCATAGTTGCTTTATTCTATCGAAATAATTTGCTGATCAAATTGACGGTTTATTAAATATAAAATCCAGTGTACAAAGCTGGATTCACCCCTTTATGTATGTATACGATAAATCAAATCAGCGAACTTAACAGGCGAACGCATATAGTAACAAGATTATTTTTGAGCACATCTGAAATTTGGATTCTTCAAAGGGTTAAAAGTAGTTTAGAGTAGAAAAAAAATTGTCATGATACTTTAAAAATCATTAATGGAAATTTTAAATTAAAACAAAGCACAAAACATAGAAGATATTGTAAAAGATTTTATTTTATACATGTTTGAGAAAAGACAACTGGGAAATCCTACCAGTAGACAGCTTTTGAAAAGTACAAAAAACATGGTTGTTACAAACTATAAGTTTAAATGTGTGAATATCAAGTGTTAATTCGTTTGAATATCACGTGTTAATTCATCTGTCTCAAGATCATGCTCAACTTTAGAATGCTGCACGCCTATGCTTTAAATACATATTCTGCATTCAAATTATATTCTAAAGTAATAATTTGAACTATTTTTTTAACTTTGTTTTTTTAAATACCCTGGTATATCTGCTATATGCCATTTAGAGCTCGTTTACTTCTTTTTTGCATGAAAATAATTTTGTATTCAAAACAATGATTAGTTTTCAAAAAATCCTAACAAACATAGATACATTGAGGATTCCAGTTTCTGATCTACCAAGCCTCTTTCTTTTCTCCTCGCTAAAATATTAACAATAGCAAAGGAACAACTTCGAAGATTACATCTCAGTTTGAGAAGTGGTGTAACTCAGATGTGGACACTTAAAAACTCCAAAGAACTTTTGGAAAAATTGAAATCATAAAATTTTACAAAAATAAACAATATAAAACTAACGACTTTTTAACTTTATATACAATCATTCCTCAAGATAAATCTAAGACCAGGCCTATGTTGACCATGCTAGGTATAATTCTGTGACAAGAAAATTTATCTTTTGCAGGACATAAGAATTGGCTTGTATTTAAAGTGAATCATCACTTGTCATGTACATAAACTGACTACTAGTATCCAGTCTGTACCACAAGTATTGTCTTATCAATGATGCCTACTGCTTTGTCTGTGATTTTCTCATTCCTTGTGTAGTGGTCATGCATGATTTTCTTTCTTCTCATATTTATATTAAAATATTGCCAATCAGATTGATGATGTCAGCCGTTGTGTTAAGTGCATAAGGATTTTTTAAATCTCATTTTATAAACATTATCTGGTTCTTAAATGGCGAGCGAAGCGAGCCAAAAATTCGGTATTGAAGATGTCGAGGTTAAATTACACTAAAATAAGAAAGGTATTTTTCACAATATTTAAATAACAATCAGTCAAGGTCAGATTATTTGTTTTCTTTGCAGTGGAGGACAGATTATTTATTTTCAACATTTTCAAAGACAGATTATTTATTTCCAAAATCTGCCAGCACCCCCCCCCCCCTTCAGAATCAAATGGTCGTCCCCTTAGTATATACAAGAGCATCTTCTATGTATGAACAAATTCTAAAACAAAATACTAGGCTATTGACAAACAAGTTGATGAAACAAGACTATCAGCTGTCTCGTATAAAGTCATCATTTTGTAGGTACTATTGTCAGTACAATGACCTTATCAGCAAATACAATATAATGCTAAACAACGTTTTTTTCATAGTAATTGTTAGACAATTCTATCAACACTGAATTGTTGACGGATTTTTTCGTTGTCTCCCGATCATGACATGGAGTACACTGCAGTATGACCGGTCGGCCGGATTTCTTACTTTCCCATGGCACCTTTTCCCACCTCTGCTGTTATAGAGCTCCGTGCTTGTTCGGTTCCTGATATTTTTGTTTTGTTAAATGCACTTTTGAGCTCGAATACAGTTCGTTATCTTCTTAAATTAATTGATTTCTTTAAATTTTCAAATTATTAGATTAGTTTTCAAATGGACATTATCTGTACGAAATTTTATGATTTAAGCAAATATCAATTAAAGATTTATTGTTTAAGTTAATTATCTTCAAGGCGGAAGATTACGTACTACTGTAAAAGTGGGATATATTGCAATGATTTTCCATGTAGTTTCATAATGTTTGCGGTCAAATAAATTTCGTGTAATACATGTCCTTTTATTCATATCAATCAAGCATTATAATTCTGTAATTGTAAATCAAAGAAATTCATTAGAAAACCCGAGGATAGTAACAAAGCGGGTGCGTTTGTTAAAAAGTAATCTAGTTTTGTTATTTTAAAAGAATAATCTTTTAAGTTGCTTATATTATCACAGGAAATAAATGATCCCAAAACTAAGCCCAACCTTCTCTATTGTAATATAGTAAAAGAGAAAAATACAAATGAAATAGAAAGATGATAAGTAATCAAGCTTCAAAGTCCATTAAAAAAAATCAGAACCAGAGCAGACATGAACCATCAAGGCGGGATCAGGTGCCATGGATGAGTAAATATCCCCTGTCCACCCGCCACACCTACCGTGTGCTCCTTGTTGAGATAGGGAAAACAGAGAAAACCGTGGACAATTCTGTGTAAAATGGTATTTCAATTTGTATTAGAAACATCAGTCATCGTTCGACTTAACGATACAATTAGATGCTGACAACGTCCATACATGTACATCCACCATAGAATTTACGAAATGTTTACTAGAAACGAGTTTGCTGTCTTGTTTCATCAACTTATTTGTCAGTGACTTTCAGAAGTTGTTCGTAGGAAGAAAATAATTTTATAAACTCTACATGCAGATGATAATTGTATATTGCCTCATAATTAAAACAAGTTGACGTGGGAAATTTTTTTTTAGCATTCATTATGTTTATCTTAAAGTTTCGTTGTTATGTTAATATTAACATCTCTTTCTTGTTAAATATCCATGTTTGTTTGAAACAGATATTTAAGACTCCGTGGTATCGTTTTTTTCGAGTTCAAACTGATATATTGAATCAACAGGGGAATGAAACTAAATTTTTGTTTTTGCCTATAGGACGCCGCTTACATATCAAAATGTTGAAGTGAAGGCAACATCGAAAGACATATTAATCTTTTCAAGAAGAAGTTTTTGAATGACATTATATTAATAACGTTTACAGTATTTAAGCACTTTTATTTTAAACTCATTTTTTATACTAGTAATGCAGTATTATCTTATTCGTCATATAACATAGGACTGCTCACGTAAGAACGAGGAGGAAGGGAAAAACCTGTAAAATTGTTTTTTAATAATGTGTTAGAAAACAACAACGTCGCAAACCACGCCTTTTTTAGAGAATGGACGTGAATCATCCGAAGACTAGCGACGATGAGAAAACAAGTCATTGTTTCGTTATTGGATGATTTATCCATTCTTTGTTTTCTGGAAAACACACGAATCATGTTGATTCACGAAACATGGGAGTTCCTTTAACGTGTTAATTAGTTATCTTTTTAATTAAAAAATGATAATAATAATTATCAATAAATTATAAAAATAAAACACTGAAGTAAGAAATCTTATTAAAGAATTTCGTTTATTAACAAAGTGTTGTGTATATTAACCAACAAGAAAAAAACACGTCTGGAAAGGCACAGCTCCTCTCATCAAATGATCATGCAGGCTTAGAATTTGAAACAGAACGTCCATATCTACAAATATGTTTTTAAAGATTTATTTCATAAACTAGAAAGGTAAATGTTACTCTCTATTTGAAGACGAAATTTCATATGTATATTTTAAACCAGGAAGATTTTGCTTTCTCCTTTTAACGTTAAAAAATTGCATATAAATAGGTCTCTAAAAAGATGTCATGTACTATATATCCAATACAGTGTTTAATCAATTTCAGATTTCTGGTAGCATATCTTTGTATCTGATGTAAATTGCATTGAAATAAATGAGTTTTGAAGTATAAATTATAAAATAGGAAATATATACCTCGGTCGAGCCAGTATCAGATAATACATATTCAATTCCTGAATGTATCGCCTTAGTTCTTCAATACTAGAAATAGATGTGGGTCTCTCTGGAGGGGCTAGTAATTCTGTTGTTTCAAATTTTGCAGCGGTAACTATACCAAATCCACAGGCGACCAAGACAAATAATAACGCAGTCTGTGATGTTATCCTGGAAAAAGAAATGATATATAGTAATGATTCTGGTTTTTTTCCGAATGAAGACAAGAAGATCTTCGCAGATTGATGTTTTACTGGACTTTTGCGGGAAGCACTGACTTTCACAGTTGATGGTCTTTGGCAATTAAACCTGTATCATGTACGGAGATACAAAATTGAGAATAGATAAGAAAACCTTTCTAGTGGTGATAGGTATGGTGTTAGTTGCACTAACATGAGAAGGCCGGGTGTTCAGGATAGGATGGTTGTCATTTCCTTGTATGTGTATTGAGATAACCCATTATTTACGTTGAATTTAATGTTTAGTTAAATATGTATATCGTTAAAGAGCTTCCTTACATTTTTCTAGTGTTATATTGTAATTTTTGAAATTACCGGCTGGTAGTAAATACAAAAATTACATTGTCATATTGTAATTTTTGTATTTACTACCTCATGGTAAATACAAAAATTACAATATGAAACTAGTGTAAAAGTAAGCCGTCAACTGTAAAAGTCAGCGCTGCTCGCAAAAGTCCATCACTTAACCTTTGAAAAAGGGTGTTAACAAGGCCTACCTCCAAATCAATATAAATCTGTATAAATATACATGTGTCTCGAATAAAATAAAATAAGTACAACCAATTACATGTTTTAAAAAAAGTTACAGCGAGGTCAAACGGAATTAAGAACTGGGCCTATCTGATAGAAGTTTATCTCAGTTGCTGGAATAGACAGTTTGCGTATTTTAATTATTCCAGAAAGTGATTTTGGATAATAATATCATTGTATTTATGTATTGGATACAGATTTTTTGAAAAATAATTGAATAATATAATAATATATTTTTAAATGCATTTTACCTAAGCTTCATAAGGGTAAAATTGTTATTTCAATCAACTTAGATAGGTATTTTTCTTGGAAAATTGATTTTCATTTTTTAAAAAAAAGTATAGACAATCTTATATAATCGCTTTCTTATAAAGGTACAGATAAAAATATCAAATATAAAGTTCATTTTTCTTTGTAAAAAATAAAATAAATACAATGTAGATTGATAAAAAATAGGGATGTGCGATTTTATCGGTATACCGGTATATCGCGATTTTTTGTTGCGTGATACATATCGTGATACGGAGAACTAAATACCGGTATTTGGGTACATATTATGAAGTCCAGAAATTATTCATTTATTTGTTCAATCATTTAAATTACAATTATAGTAAGTCTAAAAAATGTTGTAAAAGGTGAAAAGAACAGCATCTTACCATCCAAACATGATCAATTGTATGTACATAAAAATTTCAAAAAAATGAAATTTTGTTTTTCTAGCACATTTTTAAGAAAAATAATGACAGTTCATTATAAATCATTGTAAAACTGATTGTAAAAATATCATGATATTATCGTGATATTTTTGGGGGGAAATCGTGATATATCGCGATACGTAATTTTTGGCGATACCCATCCCTAATAAAAAAGATAATATGGAAAGTGTCAGTGACATATTTTGTCACGATTTCTTATAAAATTGGGTTTTTTATGGAAGTTAACAACTTTAAATATAAAAAAAAGCAATATCAGCTGCATTTTTTGAGAATATTATTTTTCCCATTAAAATATTTCAGTATGATAAATTTGTAAGTAGTTTAACCTTTATGAACGACTAAAATAACGTATTAAATTATTTCAAAAGAAAGACATATGTAGAATTATTAAAGAAAACAATATTGTACTTACAGGATGACAATAATAATGTAATTTGCATCATTAAGAGCTTGTAAATAGTTTTTGTATTACAAATTTGACCACAGAAGTTTGTAAATTTTCTTTTTCTCTGTTTTGAAAGAAGGTTATGACAAATTTGCAACAGAAAATTTGACGTCAATACAGCTCATATTGCATTGAATAACCTTCATTCTACAATTAATACATAATGTTTCAAAGAAATCACACAAGGTGATAAGCCATTCTAGATACACTTCACCACAGGGCAGTGTTCGCGTGAACTGGTTCAATTAGGACGAATGGTGAACGTGATGAAATGAAATCTGAGAATACAAAAAATCTAGTTCATTTTTTCGTCACAATTGTTTAAACTTTCATTATACAATGAAGTATGAATCCTAATGCCCTTTGTCGTATACACAAGTGTGCGTCAGTAAATGTGGAAATATCAAAGAGGAGCTCTTAACAATTCAATTAATTATACTGATGGAATGAAACATGATTCTTAAGAAAGCTCTTTCTCTTATTTTTTTCTTATTCTAATTTTAGGTAAAGTATAGTTTTATTTATAAAGCAACCCAAAGAAAATTATAAGAGCAAAGTATGTGAAACGATTTTTGAAATGAAAGATTTAAGAAAAAAAAATGATGTCAGAAATTGCATAATATCATAACATTTACATATAAAAGATGTTTTAATAAAACTTTTTAAAAACATACTGGATTAAAATATCAAGTTTCAAAACATTGTTGAAATAATGCATATGCACAATTGAAGATTTGATTTTAATGGTGACACTCATTTTCATGAAAATTTTAAGATGCAATTATCAGTTAAGAACAGAGAATACAAGCTCTTTTGTAAATATCAAAAATAACAATAATACCCATTTAAAAAAAAAGATTAAGCAGTGTAAACCTTTGTGTTTGCTTCAAGTTTCTCAATATTACATTATAGAAAATGAGTTATAAAGATGATGGTAAAAGGTGAAAAATACTAAAATAAAAGAAAATGTACATTTTTATAATGTTTTATCTACAATCAAAATAATTTCAAAATTATGTACTGATCCATGCATCCAATTTTGTGTATCATTTACCCCGAAGATAAATGACAATAAAACAGCATAAGTTAATGAAAGTTGCCCATTCCTTTAAACTTAACGAGGCAGAGTCTAATTATTTCTACGCCAGAGACTTTGATAAATTTTCTTGAATGAATTTTACTACTATATTTTTTTTGTTTTAAGATAATAAAAAAAAATCGAATGTTCTTACGGGAGCATCTCAAAATTGTCAAATTTTACAACTGGACCCTATTGTTTGTTGGAAAAGCAGCGAATTATCACATTTTTTCATATTTTTTTGTATTTCTACGCTAGAGATTTCTTTTTCAGCGAAGAACATGAAAGTTATTATAAAAAGCGAATACACTATGAAATTTGAGGAAAAAAATGACCATCTAGATTGTTTTAGGAAGACATTGCAAAGTTTTTCAAAGCCAAATACGTGTAAAATTGTCATATTGCAGTATACATATATATGGTGCATGTGAATTATTGGCGAAGATGAATCATTTTGGTAATATACATAACAATATTTAGATTGCTTATACGATTCTTTTGATGTTCTTTCAACAGTTTTAGTATAATCTCCATAGACATCTTGAACACACAAGCAAATCATGTGCCATTTTTCAGCGTCATGCATTGCTTACAAAATCGGAAACAGTGTTATTTTTTTTTCAAAGTATTGTTGTATAAGCACTTTTTCAGACCAAAAGGCGTTACAAAGAATGTTAATTTTGTATTAAAATCTCAATTTTTGAGACAGGAGTACTGTCTCACATATGGCAACATGGAATTAAAAATCTGCACAGTCATGGGCACTTGAATTCATCTTCGCTAGCCAAGGGTTTCTGATACGCTTCTCTCCTCATGATTATGAGGAGAGAAGCGTATCAGAACCCCTTGGCTACCGAAGATGACTTGAATTAGACTCGGCTTCTTTACGTCTGCAGGAGGTTATAAAAGGTGTATTCTGTTATTTGACGAACGATAAAACAATTATCACTTCATATAGTCTATAATCAGATATTAGATAACTTTACCTTGGATCTATTATATCAATTGTTATTTTCATTACAAGCAATGGTCTATGACAGTGTTTAAAGGTACACAGATACAGATTTGAAGTTAATATTTTCCGTATAATATCACGACTTATATATTGTAACAGCATTTCACACGAAAATATATTACAAATCTTATTTCATCTAAAAGTTATTGAAACTTCAAATTTTTGGACGGGTTTGATTGACACATCCTTGCACTCTCACAAATTTTACTTTTATTCTTAATACTTAGGAAAAGTGGCAATCTTGTTTTGTATTAATGAAAATATTATAACTTTAATCCAGAAAAAAAATGTTCGGAGTAGAAATGTTCGAAAGCAAAACCCCTTCACAAGTATCGTCATTCCGCGCTTAGTGTTGTGCAAAATATAATGTGTGTATGGTTTCCTTTCGAACATTTCCACTCTGAATTTTCCTTGTGAAAGTGCAAGGATGTGTCAGTCAAACCGAACCAAAAATTTGAATTTTCAATAAAACTTTAAAATGAAAAGAGCTTTTTAATATATTTTCGTGTGAAATGCTATTCCAATATATAAGTCGTGATATTATACAGAAAATATTAACTTCAAATCTGTGTCTATGCACTTTTACAGAAACGGTGCTTATACGGGAGAAATTAGAGAGAAAATAAAGTAGATCAAATTTAAATATGCTTAAAACGAAAATTAAATAACTTCAGTGTAAAAACACTGATCCCTAAAAATCAACAGTGGTGGGATCAGGTGCCATAGAGGTGCAAGCATCCCTCTGTCAACCGACCAACCACGCATTCAAACTTCTGCATTAGTAAAGTAAATGGAGCAATTTCACATTTACTTCATAGACCAGTTTGTATAAAACAAGTCAGTCGACAGAACGAATAACATACAACATAGCATTTCTGAAGGGGGAGAGAACCCTGCTAAAACTGGTTTAAAAATTGACTGTTTCTAAAAACATACTCTTGGGCACTGAATCAGTTGGGTGACATAAAATTATATGCGGATGATAGTAATATATTAACAACTTCAAAAATATATTACTTTTTTTAGTAGAGTACAAATGTTAATCCTTCATCTTTTTGTTTTTGTTTTAAATAAAATGCGTGAAGTAGATGGTAGATATTATAGATAAACATTTTAGAAAAATAGTATTTCGTTTTGCAAAGTTTGACATGGGTATTTCAGTGCTTTAAACTTTACTGTTAAATGCAAGTGTCTTTAGATTTCATTTACGATGTGAATATTCATTTCTAAAAATATGTAGATGAATAAACTTAAAATTTTACAATAAACAGTCAATATCATTCATATTACTTAAGTATGATCTCTCATAGGCTTTATTATTTGGAATAACGATCACAGGATCTGGGGCATTCTAAGACTAAAACTATAATATATATGTACTAAATATTCATTAAATATTTTTCATACTAATCTTAAAAATAAAATGAAGGGGATTTTTTTTTATATTTTGAAAAACATTTCAGATCTTTTGTTTTCTAGAACAAAATTTTTAAAAAAATAAATTGTATATATATGTTAGAATAACGTTTCAGAGTCTAAATGTATGCAGATAGTTTTGCATGAATTTATATGGTGTAATAAATTTGAATCACTGTTAAAAGACACTAATGTTATGGTTTAATTGTATTAATTGTTATCAAAACAATAAAAAATTAAAATTAAAAACTAAAGCGAGGGAGAAAAATGTAACCCATTCCTATAGAAATCTTAAAACTGATAAGAATCAATTCCTAAGATTTTTTTTTTCTTTCAAGAAATAAATAGAATATCAGAAATCCTAACTTGTGCATAAGAAAAAAAGTGAAAACTTTTCATTACTACATGTAACATTTTTTAAAACGGATACATATATTCAAAATTAATCTATGAGTGAATCTAAAACTACTCACATGACTGAAGTTATCTAAGTAACTGAACTGTCGCCAACTCCCTGGATGGACTACGGATTCTTGTGGCGATACCTGCAATATATATATACTTAACTGCTACCCGATAATGTATCACGATGTAGACACGTTTTTTCAGAGTTATGAAGAGCCTGTAAATAATCATCTTTATTAGCCCTGATCTTTTTTTTTTCGAAATTCAATATTGATTTATAAAAATGATAGATAACATAAAACAATTATCCTTTTACCTATTCCTATTTATAGAATTGTCTTATTAAAAAAACAAATACTATTGATTTAGCGCTAGTACTATATATGTATTTTCATCCCATTGAGATTTTTTAATTGAAGATAATTTTTGTATGGATTTATTCACAGAATGTATTGGAGAGCCCTCAAATTCCACTGCGGTACCCGGGGACTGGTCCTTTTAAACCGTATACTGTGGTTTCTTCATTATTCGCTGGGCACCAATTTTCGAGGATTATGTTGTTGAACAGATTCATGAAGTTAAGGAGGCTGGGGGTCAACAAATTATCAACAAATTAACCACCAGATATAACTTAAATTTTTCGATATTATATCTTGACAAAGAAACATTTCATACATATTAGTTTTAATACCGGTATTTAATTGTTTTTGTATATCTTTATATGAAGCTTTTCTTCTAAAGGAGATCGAAATAGTCTAAAATGGCCACGACCACCCAGCCCCTTTAAATGTTCATTGATTTAAGAGATGTGTTACTCATTTGCGCAGGAAATGCTTTTGTCCACAGAATTTGGTGTTCTTGAAAACTTCTGTTTCACAAAATACAGGGAAATTGATGCCAAAGAAAATTGACGAAACCGCAATATACAGAGGTACCGTGTCTCAGTAGCTGCTGTTACGATAAAGATCCCTAACTGCCCAAATGACATTAGTGCCGACTACAAGTGAGGAGAAATTCTTGGAGAAAGCATATACTAGTATAGACAATCTTAATGAAACTTAAGAGAAAAAATAATCAATGACACATGAATATTTGCTTGGGAAACAGAAAATATTACTAATTCTAATTATCTAAGATTTCCCAGTTACTGCCAATTTAATCCGTTATTTGAATCATTTAAAGATTATACATTGCCTCAAATCAAAAGACTTCACTTGTAAACGCTTGGACAAACTGTTTTCTCAATTGCCTTTAAAGGATTACTTTGCTCTTTTTTTACCTTAAAGTGAATTCAAACATATACGAGAGTAATGTGTGACTTAGACTATTAAAGTCTAAATCTCCTAATGACTGCTGGATCCATAGAAACAAAAAAGGGTAATATGTTAAAATTTTTAAAGCTTAAAGTTAGCCATTTAGTGTCAGCATAGGATGTCATACGAAACTTTTTGCTCAAGTGTACGTCCGTAGATTTCTTTTTTTTTAAATTTCACTCGGTATAAACGATATATTATTTGATCATATTTCCTGACGGGAAATGAGGAATAAAAAGAAAAAAAAAGTATCGTGTCCTGGAATTTAAAAAAAAATTTGAGTCGGACCTTTTTGAGTCAGTCAGTCAGTAGGGAGAGCGCAACTAAACACTTTTTAAAAGATGGCCTAAAATATTTTTTCATTAAAATATACAAATTAATTTCATTATTTTTTTCTTTTAGAGAGAATTTTTGGAGACCCGAGAAAGTTCAAATTTGAATATTAAAACTCTTGTCAGGATTCGTGGTTGAAGAAGGTTGATTTGTTGTATGTTAAAAATTAAACATTTTATGGAGGATTTGAATTTGTGGTTCTCTTCATACCACTAACACCAACGAAAATTAAATCTTAACCAAATTAGTGATTTCACAGCATTTTAAACTGCATTATCTCCACCACTGCAAATGTACATAATCAGCAATCTACAAGTGTTATCCACCCTCACCATAGCTATTAAAATAGCAATATTGCTTACATTTATATCAGCTTTACATAACAGTGGAAATATATTTAATACGTCAAAGTCTTCAAAAGGTACGAATTCACAAATTACAGTGCCAAAAATTCATCTCAATACAATTAATATACTTTGATCAATTTCAGACTGTATTACATTAATACGATATGATGAACAACTATTGCTCTAATAGTGATGTTCTACATACAAGACACATGGCCTTCGCAATGCAGCTAACTCACTGAACAGCCAAATGTCTTAAAAAGAAGAACGTGGACATAAAACTATATTCTCTTAAGATGAGATAATTAAGATATATTTTGCGATATATTCACGTAAATATAGCCTTTTGAATTCACACGAAACCGTCTCAGTATATAATGCTCAAGTGTCTTATGTAAAACTTGGTGCACGCTCCAAGATACCTAGAGAAACAGAATTTTCCACAGCATGTTAAAGTCACATGAAACCGTCTAAGTACGTTGTATATAAATGTTCACGTGCCTGGTGTAAAATTGGACGTTCGCTCTAAGCTACCTAGAAACAAAGCCTTTCACAACATGAAACCATCTAAACTTACGGACATTGTATATAAAAGTCTGAGAAAGAACTACATGAAGATGACACTCTAAGATATCTAGTAACAGAGCCTTTCAAAACTCTTCTGTGTGTTTTGGATGAAAACTGAAAAATTCGAGGACCTTCTCAGAGCATGCGTTGGTACGATAAAGAATTGAACCTTTTTTGCATAGACCCTGGGTGGCAAACTTAGGACTGGATTCTTATCAACCTTTTAATTCCCCTAGAAACGGAGTATGTATTGTTTTCTTTTTTCCTTGATTAAATTTTAAAGAGCTAGGTTCACTTTATGCATAATATGGCCCTGTACTTATATCAATTAATTATCACCCTCTTTTCCATGTCATATATCAAGATAAAGTAGACACATGGTGCTTTCATTTCCTGTAATAAAATTTCTTTTTGAGAATCCAGATATTGGAAAACAGGCTTTGAAAAATTGCAATGTTCTTGAAATTTTCAAAACAAAAAACATGCGTATTTGACTACCTTCAGCAAAGAATTAAAATATGAACACAGCCGATGGTCCAAATATCAAAAAATAGATAATGTTTTTTGATCTTCAGAAAGAGATCTTTCATTATGTATTTGCATATTTTGGATCAAAAGTTGTGCTCTATATGAAATATTGATAAAATACGTCAACTTTAGGCCATTTTTAAAGGATATGAGGAAAATGAAGCATTTTATGACGTCATAATTCATTGACTAGAGAGAAAATTACGTCATGATTAATAGATACGTAGTCACCAACACTCCAAGCGATAAACTCTGCATTTGCAGCCTAAACTGAGCGGTTTTGATTTTTCAGAAATTCTCATGGTCTTATAAGGCCCAAAGTGGCTCTTGCTCTTTCTTATTGTTTTGATAATAATTTATAAAATTAAACAATAAACATTAATGTCTTATAACAATTCTAAAAATTTATTACACCACATACAATTAAATATATGGAAAAACGAACAGTATTTAATTAAGCCCACAAGTCTATAATACAATACAAAATAGGAGCGGAGCAAACACGGACATCCAAAAACATTAGAAGTGGGATCGGATGCCATGTCGTATTCTCCTTGCAATGTTCGGGAAATAACGAAAAAAAAAATTTCGTCAAATACCTGCAAAAATAATTCTTAACAATTAGTATGAAAAACATCAGTCATCATTTGACTTAGTGATAAATTGTATTTGCTGACAAGTTCATTGTATCGACCATAGAACTTACTAAATTATTACTTTAAACATGACTGCTGATATTCTTGTTTCATCAACTCGTTTTCAATAATTTACCTTGTTTTAGAAGTTGTACATGAAACATATGGGGGTAACGAACAGTATTCAAGGTCAAAAATCTATAAAGCGAAACCTTGACTTTAATTCATGCAGAAATAAATATTTTACTTTACACATTACAGTGTGAAAACACAGCTTATACATCTAACATTGTTGCTGATCACGTGGACGCACTGTTACTATTCGTTAAACACCGCAAGATCCCTAAAAGCTGACACAATCAATTTATGAAATAAAATTTGAGTTGTTTGCAAAGCCTATGTTAATTCATATCACACAATAAACAGAAAGCTAAATTCTAAACATAAAAATGCAAATATACATACATATGTTTGCTCTGCCCCTATTTTGTATTGTTTTATGGACTTTTGATATTTGGATACTGTTCGTTATCTCCATATCCTACATGCGTAAAATGTAGGGGATGCTTACTCCTCCATGGCACCTGATCCCACCTCTAAATTATAATTTATTAAACTTAGACATTTATACATTTTCCGAAAAGAATAACGGCTTCGAAAATTATATCAAGAGACTCTAAACAGTATAGTTGTAAGCACTAATATTGTATGGCTATCATTTACAAGTTGAATCGACGGGAGTAACCGACAGGGTTTATAGGAGATGCTTACTCTCCCATGGCACAAGATCGCACATCTGATATTTATAGATGATTATTTTTGCTCTGCAACCAGCAAAGAAATTGATGTAATAAGAGAATCAACAATTTCGTTTAAACAATTCAAAATTAAGCTTTTAAAAGAAAATTGTTTAATTACAACCTATTATAATTTGGTATATATACTGATGTTTTAATTAAAAATTCTTGGCTTCTATCATTAAGGAATACCTTAATTTCTTGAAGACAAGTTGCTTATGGCGTGTGTGATCTGTTAACAGATGTAGTTCTTCCTGTGGAACTCTCCAATGTCTAATGCTTCTATATGCTTTTTAAAAAAAATTTATGTTTGATTTGGCTTGTATATTGTTTGCTATTATCTCAAATCTCTTCGTTGACCTTCGCTGAAGATTCAACCTGAAAATGCTGTTTTAAGGGATGTACAGTACCAGAAGTACCTCAAATACTTCATTTGACATGTGTTTTCTAGGTGAGTAAGTTTTTGTAGTTTGTCCTCTACAAAGTACTGAAAATTTCTATAAAGTCCAAACTTTCGGTTGTTTTGCATCTATGTAAACACCCTACATATTATTTATTTTGTGGGTGTAATACTTCTATAACATTGAAAAAACCAGCCAGTTGTGTTTTGCTTTAACA